CTTAAGGTTCAAGGTTAAGGGTCAAGGGTTTAGGTTCAGACTTTCTGCTTTTGAGTCAGATTGCTCATGTCACGGATTCTACCACGAGGGATAAGCCGGATAAGCTTCATGATTCTTGTCATGGTGGCGATAATTATGGTGATGCCAGGTAAATATCATCGCAGGTTCCACTCAATTTTACATTTTTGTTTCTACCTGATTCTCCTTTATTGGGCTAATATCCCCAAACTCCAAACCCTGAACTCTACCTCCAAGCAGTACTTTCCATTTTCTCTTCCATTTGTCCCAGCATTACCTTCAGTACCTATGACCCTAAGAACTTATACTTCGGGAAGTATGGTACTATAGTACACTAAGGTCATGCAGGATCTTTTTCTATCAACATAGTTGTTGGTAGAATCAGGAATAGCAGCATGAGGAGTGCAAGCAATAATGTTGATGATTGTCATGCCCGTCTCCATCTCACAAATGGCTAGCGTTTTTCCCGTAGTATAAACCACAGACGCGGGTTCGTGATGAATTGCAGATCTGCAATGATGTCCTTCTAGGTTCATCCTATGCTCGCTTTCGAATTACTCCTTCCCCTATGCCCATGGCAGTTTTTCACAAAAAGCTCTAAGTTCTAATCCCTAGAAGCTTAACGCCTACAACCCCAGACCCTAGACTGTCTCCAGCATGTGAAGCCCCCAACTCCCTTTTCCGGAAACGTGAAACGCATCAACGAGATCACCCGAAGTTCCGCGTGGGGTTCCAAAAAATCGACGGCCTCGTTTTGGGGACCCCCGATGACAAGCATTATGGTTTCCGATGTATATTGGTGTCCCCTTTTTCTGGAAACTGAACCCTAAATCCCAAACCCCCAACCCTAACCCCTAAACCCCTAAACCCCTAAACCCCTAAACCCCTAAATCCCTAAACCTAACTTCTTGGGCCAAGTTTTTGGGGCTGTCTTCCCTTGAGGTGTTCAGTTGCTGGCAGCGCCGAGCTCCTTTGAAGCATTTTCCTTCCGACCATCAACCTTATTGGTTGTTAGTGGGGAATAAGGGAATATAATCCCTGTACAGTCCCTATATAATATATTCCTATATTCGCTACTAACCACCAGAAAGTTAACACTTTTATGTAAGTATAATTGCTGCTGCTACTGCGCCTGCTGCTATTGTTGCTGCTTGGACTAATTGTTGTAGTTCCTCCTCCGACCGCTACTTCTTCTCGTATCGCATACCTACGACAGCGATAATTTCTTCTTGCTACTTTTGGACGACGACTGCTACATCATGTCCACAGCATCTGCTACAAGTACTGTGGCTAAGCTGGTCATGATTACTACGGTTGATGCCAGTAATTCTGCGTGACTTGAGTAACATGATTTCCAACTTTTACGGTACTTATTTTTGAATCCTCCAAACGGGGCTCCTGTGACAAGGATTATCTTTTTTTGGGGCCTATGTTAGGTGGACCCCCCACCCAGTAATGGTGACTATAAGGGATAATAGGGATTATATTATATATTCTTATTATACCACTATTACAGGGTGGGGGGTCCTCCTAAGGCCTATGTTTGGGCCTCCATTTTGGAAGCCTGCCAGTAGTAGGCCAACTCACTGGGCATGTCACATTTAGGCGCGGGGGGCCGCAGGTAGTTATGGTGCCCGAGTTCTCTTTATGAAGGTGGAAGATATCTTGTACCATTTGGGGTTCCCACTAGAGTAATTCCTCTCATAACTTTCTTGGTACGGCAAGATTTTCTTCACTCAAAGTATGCTTCGACGGTTATCAAACCATGAAAAGTAGGAAGAGCCCCAAGCCCTAAACCCTAAGGCCTAAGCCCTAAACTCCTTGTTCCGCGCTCCTGATTCCTCCCGCGTGCTTGAAATCCTTGCTTGACCTCCCTGTGGCCTCTTCCAACTTCAAAGTTCCCAAGTTTTTTGTTTAGGATGTAACCCCAATAATGGAGACTCACATGGAAAATAAAATGAACAATGACATGGAAGCTAGGATGATACAGGGTTTATAAGGGTTTAGGCCTTCCCCAAATTAGGGGTACTTTCTTGGGGGTCTTAATGCTTCGTGTACGTAGCTTGTGTGGGGAGATCCCTAGTTCAAGACCTGGCCTGCACAGTAGGTCTCTTTAAAGGGGTATATAGGGATTATCAGAAAATTATCTAGAGATATTACCCAACGTCTCCTTCAAAGGGTGTAATATGGCGATTGTATAGGGATTTTCTAGGGATATTACCTCCAAACGGAAAGAACATGGAAGTTAGATGGAAACCAAGGCTTCCAGGATGTCATCTGCAGTGCTGGCCTGGAAGCATCTTGTTGGCGAAGCTCAGCAGCACAATGCCTGGAAGCGACGGCGCGATGCTCGTGCTTTCATCAACCGGCTGCAGTCACAAGTTGAAGCCGGTAGAAGCAGGAGACATATACCCTATTATATTATAGTAGCTTTCCATTTTCTTTTCCATTATCCTAATATAGCCCCAATATATCCCCAATATATACCCTATTATATCATAGTAGTTTCCATTTTCTTTTCCATTACCCTAATATAGCCCCAATATCACCCCTTTAACCCTACTAGAAAATGGTAGTTTCCATTTTCTTTTCCAGTATCCTAATATAGCCCCAATATCACCCCTTTAAAAGTACCCCTAATTTTGAGCAGGAGACTGCAAGTCCTGGAGCTGCAGAGACTTTTTGCGGCATGGTGGAGTGTAGCCGCAGAAGCACGGCTTGAAATCTGGAGCATGGGGGCTGGGGCTGCAAATTCCATTGCAGACGCGCGCAGGATGCAAGCAGGCGAATATGCGTCATATTCGACACAAGACACGTCTGATTCCCTCACATCTTCATCATCTCGGTGTCCTACAAAGTTGTCCCAGACTGGCAGCTCAGACGCTTCCGACCCCTGTGATTTGCAGGCAAACATGGCTTGGCAGCATGGCTATGTGTTTGCCCATGGCTTACGTGGGGATGGCGCTAGAGTGGAGATAGCTGAGAGGTTGCAGAGCTGGGAGAGCCATGGTTGCAAGGCCAGGGTTTTACAGCTTCTGGCCCTGAAAGCTTGGTGGTGGCGGACTGCGCATGTGTTGCAGGTGCTACGGCATCTGCCACAGAAGCGCCAGGCACACTTCTGGGAGAAGTTCGGTTACTGCTTTGTGGCGTGGGCAAGGTTGAGTCTGCGCGCTCGGGTCCTCAGGTTGAAAGTCATGGTGGGCAGTGGAGTCCAGCATGGGCTCCGCTACCCGGAGCCTGCAACCCAACTCCTGTGTAGCTGTTGGAAGGCGTGGCGCTTGCAGCTCGAGGTGACAGCCGCGCTCTGGCAGCAGTTTGTTGGTGGCCTTCTTCGGAGCCACAAACGTCAAACTGCGCTTGAGTGCTTAGTCGACGCGATGGATGCGAGGGCTGAACGGGAGCACAGAGATTGCACCTTGGCCCTGTACTGGCGTGCTGACAAACTCCTGGTGCGCCTGGCCTTTGTAGTCTGGCAGTTTGCATGCGAAGCAGGCCGTAAGGATTTCGAACTGGAAAGTTTGCGGCGTGTTCTGGACAAGACTGGCTCAAGTGGGAAGTTAATGGTCAAAGAGCTCGTGACGCAGCATTCGCTTTTCGTGCGATTCGTGGCCGTGAAGACTGTCTTTAGCTGCTGGTGTTCGCTGACCCGTCTACAGGGACAGTCGCGACTTTGCTCTTCCAGCATCAGGAAGCAGCTAGATGCAGGTTGCCTCGGCCTTTGTTTCATTGCATGGCAAGCATGGAGATACGGCAGCCAAGATAATGGCAGACAGAACTCGTTCAGGAACAAGCACGTGCACCTGAGACCGTCCAGTTGTTGGTTTTACTGGTGGTTGTGCATCACACAGCAGCTCCGTGTAGAGCATTCCTGTCCGCAAGCCGCAGAAGTCCCCCACTTCCAAGACCAAGAGGTGACGAGGGAGGATGTGGCGACACCCAGGTGGCGGGGCACCCTGCAACTGACTTTTGTCATGTGGGCTCTGCAGGCAGAGCGGCGTTGTAGGCAGGAGAAGCAAGTTGCACAAGAGGCTTCATGGGCAGAGCAGAGCCTTTTGCTGAAGAAGCTGATTCTGACGGCTTGGGTGTTGCTATGTTCAGGACGTCAGGGTGGCCAAGGGATGGTGGAGGATCCTCCAAAATCAGCAAAGAAGTTTGAATGCAGGCACATTCAGCTTTACTTGCGCAGACACAACGATGCAATTCGATGTGTAGCCTTCTGCTCTTGGCGGGTAGGCTGCCTTGAAGTACGCCTTTCAGCCCTGCATGCTCATGACACGGCTCTGAAACAAGCTCAGCTGTCCCAGGCCCAGGCACAGGTCCTGTCAAAGAAAGCTTCCAACTTCAATGGTAATGTATACCTATGATTAATAAGCCACCTCCTCTTACAGGCCTTAATATTGGGATTCCTATTGAATCCCTATTAAGGGGAGGGGGTTTAGTAATCAGGGGTCTACATTACCTAAACCAAAGTCGGGCTACTGGGGTTTAGGGTTTCCCAAAATTAGGGGTTATATAGGGTTATATAGGGGTTATAATGGGATAATGGAAAATAAAATGGAAACTACTATGTAGGGTTTAGGGTTTAGGGATTAGGGTTTAGGGTTTCCCAAAATTAGGGGTACCTATAATGGAGAATCAAATGGAAAAGAACATGGAAAATGACATGGAAACTGGGATATATGTAAAGTTAGGACTTCCATGCGCTCCTAGCTAAAAGGATAGGAATAATCCCCCCTCTAATATTGAACCCCCTCGCTCGACTCTACCACAATTGGAATGTTTAATGTTAGGAAGGGTCGATAGAGGGTTTTTAGTATTATAAGGGGGAGGGATTTAAACCCTAAACCCTAAATCTATTTCCTAACACTTTTTCCCGAAGCGCTAGACCTTCTTCCCTAAACCGAAGCCCTACCCCCTAAATCTTGAATCCTAAACCTTAGTTTTTAGCCCTAAGCCCTAAACCCTTAATTTCCGGCTCACAGGCATGGCAGAGTTGCCTGAAGCCTTGGGTGGAACAGGCAAATGTGCTGGTTCTCAACAATCATAAGTTTAGGGTTTAGGGGTTTAGGGTTTAGTTCTTGATGGTTGAGGGTATAGGGTGTAGGAAACAGGTTTAGGGTTTAGTGTGTTGTGGTTATGGGTTCAGGGTTTGGGGTTTATTGTTTTAGTGCTTTAGGGTTTAGGGGGGACTCCTCAGGACATACAGAAATTATAGGGGGATAATGGCGAGGTGCCGTAAACAACCCCAAAGGATATGGAAGAAGTATAGGAGGATTAATTATAGGAGATTGTTTCGAGAAATTCCTATGTGGAAGTTTCTTCCAACAAAGGGTTAGGGTGCAAGTTGAAGTTGTAGAGATGCGGGTTGAGGGTGTTTGGTTGGGTACTGCCCCCACCCAGTAACAGTCTATATTAGGGGTCCTATTAAGGGCTCAATATAACCATGTTATATTTATTATCCAACTGTTACTGAGGGGGGGGCAGTACCTAAGTTTTGGGGTTGTGGTTTCGGGTTTGGGGGTTGGGTTTCGAGAACTCCCGCGTGACTGAGAGTTTCTGGAACGTATGGGTCCTCTTCTTGGGGTCGCTGTCATAAGGGCCCTTTGGTACTTTCCAAAAACAGCGGGACCCCAATATAGACGACCCCCAAATGGTTCGCCCAATTTTGGAAACCTCCCCATATTAGCAGTGGTGCTCAACATGTTGAAAACAGGCAGATTTGAGCTTTCTGCGACTTCTCTTGCGCGCCTGGCATGATTGCAGATTCGGATGGTCTACAGGGTTCTGTGTGCAGATGCGCAGAAGGATCGTCACTCTGCAGGAGAGATTTCAGCTAGCCTTCTACTTTCAGAAGTGGCTCTTGGAATTGGCTTGTCACCCTGGCCTTTTGTCATGGTTGCGCCTCGCTCAGCGCATGATCCTGAGAGATGTGGACACGAAACCTGCTGTCTTGACACGCTTGGCTGACCTGCCGAAGCTAGAATCCTGGGCCGTAAATGGTACGATTGTATGTGTGCTGTATTCTAAACTCCTCAAAGGGGGTTAAATGGATATTATATAGGGGACTATTATAAGTGTTATTAATGGGGATACTCACGTAGAACATCTTATGTAATAGCTGACGGTCATTTTTTGCCCTAGAATGATTTCAGATGCTTTGTACAAGGATCTATCAAGCCCGCAATTGCCATCAGCTGATCAGACTCAGATTCCTGCACTTCCAGCTGAAGATGTTACGGATGGAGAGGACTCTAGGGTTTAGGGTTTAGGGTCTAGGGTTTTGGGCTTGGGTATTACCCCCAGAATTGCCCCCCAACTCAATCCCAACCAAATCCTCAACATCAATTGCTAAACAATCCCTACGTTGGGCCTGAGCTCATCCACGAATACTTGACTAAAACCCTAGAACCCTACAACCCTGACACCCTAAAACCCTGAAACCCCAAACCCTAAGACCCTAAACCCTACGGCTCTAAACCTAAAACCCTGAAACCCTAAAACCCCAAAACCCTGGGCGAGGAGCAGCCAGAAGAGGAGCAGCTGCCCGCAGTGTACCAGCCAATGGTGGCATTTGCGGCAACTCCAAAGCAGGGCCGCTCCACTAGTTCCAGCCGGTCTTTGTCCAAGTCCGAAGATGCACAGCAACTAGGACTGCCCTAAGTAGAGCACTTCTTTGTTACGTTTTCTTGTTTGATCCTTAGTTTTTAAGGTTTAGGGCACCAACTTATTGCAGTCTTTTGACTTGGACAGTGGTAGCCAAGGAAAGAAGACCTGCACTTTCCACCAGCTGCCCACCAGCGGCCAGCAGAGCGTCAAAGCTTGGAACTGTGCGGCTGGGTCGTTCTTGATTGTTTTAGGGTTTAGGGTTTAAGGTTTAGGGTAGTTCAAAACTGGGGTCATATCCTTAATATTCCTGACCACATTAATCATTGGGGTAATACCCCTAATATCCCTGATGCCTAAACCTTATATAATCCCATCTATTCCTATTTAACACTCTATATGAGCTATAGTCTAAATTGATTCGAGGGGGTTATATAGGGGACTACTATAAAGGTTATTAAGCTGGATACTTGGAGTTTAGACCCTAAACCTTACAGTAAAGCCTCAACCCTAAACCCTATACC